ACCTCTCACCGAGCATGCATACGAAATGAGAGTGAATAGGGTATATTACCAAGAAGCTCAATACATCTTTACTTCTACATTTTCATTGGAGCGACACAACACTGGATGATACAAGTTCTGATGATCCGCATCGTCGGAAGCAGTTAGACGCGATAATAAGGAGTTTAAAAGCTCGCTAGGTGTTTTCTTCGTTCACTTAAATAGTCTCTTGTAATGACTGCAGTTCAGCCTTCGTTCGCTGGAGCCTCTACCGAGCGGAAGCGAAGCATCCCCGAATTAGGGGTCTGCACATATTTTGGGCGTGCTTTGTAGTACTGGTACAACAGTTTCAGTGGTAGCAATATGGCCCAGAGCTGCTTTGGAAAAACAAACTCCAAATCCAGATTAGAGGTATTTAAATTAAAAGGGAAGTTTTATAGGTAGGCTACCCTAGGCATTTGCCGACCGAAACGCACAATATTAATAAAAAAACTGCTGTTGAAATAACTGAACCCTTTATTGAAGTGCATGTATAAATATAAATAAAATACCATTTTTGGTAGAATGTGGGAGCGCGAATTCGGACCTTGTCGAATCTCTTCTCAGGTACAACCGACAATTTGTCACATGAGTTGATAGCGTAATTGTAAATATGTAAGGCTTATCGCGAGTCCAAGTTTCAATGACTATAATAGCAAGCAATTTCCTCGCTCGATCCTACTTAGTACAGAGGAACTTCGGCTACAACTCTATTAACTATTGTGCTTTGCACACATTCTGTCTAAACGATATCCTAACTCGTTGTTTTAGCAAATCTTGAAAAATAATCCAACATTGATTTACCTACCGTAATCGTCGAATTAACTTTGAATTACCATTTACTCGAAGAGTTAATGTTGTCTTATGCGTGTTTCCGTTGAATGGCTGTAGTATTAGGCCAAACAACGTCGTACACTTTCTTAAGCCCGTGCAACTACATTCCAGAAGATGACAATTTCTATCGATATGCGTTGGAAATCGATTGTGTGACCTACATCTACGACATTGACCTAAGTGTTGTTGCGTCCGTTATGGGGGTCTCGACGCGGTCTATTTCTCGTTGAGGTTTACTGTTTCGTCGTAGTGGTCATGTGATACCGAACACGCGAATTAGCACACACACACACACACACACACACAC